GTCGGTGGTGACACTCAGCGCCTGCTGATAAGCAGACAGCGGTGTGCTCGATATTCCCGACCTCGTGCTGGAAGGGGAGGGTGCAAGCGCCAGCTGGTTGATGGATGTCTTGGGCCGATGCAGCGTGACGACAGCCTGGCACTTCGGACAACGGCATTGATGCTTCCAAAGTATGCGATTCCATTCCTGTCGCCCACACTGCTGACATGTGGACCACCCAGACTCGGGTGGCTCTGTGGTCTCGGGCGCAGGAGCCGCTCTGCCACTCGACTTCTTTTTTGCCATGGCTCGGGGAGGGTGGTGGATCTGCCCTCCTTAGTCAACCTGGGGAAGCGAAGGCGCCTTCCTCTGCCCCGCCAGGTGTCCCTCAAGCGCCACGGGGAGGCGAGGGCTGGCTCAGGGCAAAATGCTCTGAGCCGGGATGGCTTGAGGAGGAGGAGGAGGGGGAGGAGGAGGAGGAGGAGGAGGAGGAGGAGGGGGAGGAGGAGGAGGAGGAGGAGGAGGAGGAGGAGGAGGAGGAGGAGGACGAGGAAGATAACGAGCAGGAGGAGCATCAGGAGGAGTCGGAGGAGGGGCAAGAGGACGGGCAGCATGAGATGGAGGAGGCGGAGAAGAAAGAAGGATACAGATGCCACCGAGCTGGAGCAGGATAAGGACTTGGTGAAGCCAGAGGCGGAGCGGAATGCACGCGGAATACGAAGAAGATGCGGAGGGTCAGGATCCGTACCTAATCATGATTCCCCAGGTTCGTAGGTGCAGGGCTTTTCGCCAACAGCCACGCGTTGCGCCTCGCCGCATCCGGAGTGAACGTATGCAGATGGTCGACAGGCTTGTTTTTTCCCTCACCTGCCTCGGTGGCGTGCGTGGCGGCGTCGGGGACATGGACTTTAATCGGAACTTTGGTAGATTTCCTTCGCTTCTCCGGGATGCACATCTGGAACGCGTAAAGACTGGGTGTTGGCTGGTTTGCCCTGCTCGTCTGCCGTGCTGGTGCCGTGGCGTTCTGCCGTCCTGCCTTCTCGCGGCCTTTTGAAGGCCTCTTGGGGGCCTCAGTGCCTCTGGGAGGCCTGGAGGGCCTCTTGGCCCCCCCTGGGAGGCCTGAGCGGTGATGGGAGATGCGGAGGGGTCACGGAAGCGCCATCTAGCAGGGAGAACGGAGGGGATGCAGGGGTAGGAGGGAGGATGGAGGAGGGTGAGGGAGGAGGACGGGTTTGGATGGAGAAGGAGGAGGAAAAGCAGGAGGAGGAGGAGGAGGAGGAGGAGGAACAGGAGGAGGAGGAGGAGGAGGAGAAGGAGGAGGAAGAGGAGAAGAGGAGGAAGAGGGCCAGAGTGAAGCCAAGGTGCGTCAGCGATGCTGCAATACACCCTCCTTCCTTGTAAGTCCCTTTCTTGTCAGTCCCTTCCTCGTAAGTCCTTGCAGGCCTTCCCTGTTAGTCCTTGCAAGCCTTCCTGACCCGAGCCCCTTCCTTGTGAGTCCTTGCAGGCCTTCCTTCCCGCTTCGAGGAGCGACCCCCTGAGAGACCGGCACCCGATGGGCCTGCCGTTCGGGCGAGAGCCTGGGTTTGGAAAGGAGCCGACTGCCCTGCAGCCTTCAACGAGCAGTACCGAGGACCGCGCCAAGATAGGATCATGCAGTTCAGCGAGGTGTCCAGCGAGATCCCTGGTCTGAAACAGGATTGCCCCCCCCTCCCCCATGCGTGAAATTTTTGCGCAAGCTCTCCCTGCTGGCCAAGAGTGTTGAGGAAATCTCAAGCGTGAGCCCCATTTTGAAAGGCAGCCGCCCTCCCTCCGTGCGTCTTCAAGCGAACACCGCATGTGGAAAAGGAGTACAACTGTTGCATCTGTACGAGTTTCTGTTTTTTTGTTGATTTGACGTCTCGAGTTGTTGAAAAGGAAACGCCCACCATCCGTGTAACTGTGGCAAGCTTTTGAGACTACCATTCGCGGCGCTAAGGCGAGAACCCCAACCTCAAGAAGAACCGCCCACCATCCCTGTAACTCCTGCAAGCTTTAAGACGAATCTGCTCGGCGCTAGCGCGGGAGCCCCATTTTGAAAACGGCCCACGCTCCTCGCGGCGCTGCGGCGATAGCTCCATTTTCAAAACGATACTCCCTACGTCTTTGAAGCTGTTGCGAACTTCAAGCTTCAGGATCAAGCATGGTGAGCAAGGCTCAGGCGAAACGCCAAGCCCGCCCTGCCGACACGCCTGGGGTTGCGGCAGGGAGGAATTACTTGAACGACAAGGGAAGGAGCAGGAGGCTGAAGAGGAGGACCAGGAGTAGGAGTAGGAGTAGGAGTAGGAGTAGGAGTAGGAGTAGGAGTAGGAGTAGGAGTAGGAGTAGGAGTAGGAGCAGGAGCAGGAGCAGGAGCAGGAGTAGTAGTAGTAGTAGTAGTAGTAGTAGTAGTAGTAGTAGTAGTAGTAGTAGTAGTAGTGATGCTGAGCCTGTATGCTCGCTTACGCTCCAGCTTTAGCAACGCCGCCGTGCCAGCTCGCGCGGG